AGATGTAGATGTCTATTGGCCACAACATACACTCACCATCAGGTGGACTGTTCTCATTTGTCACTTAAATTTACCAATTAGAGAGCGTGGACTCCTCCCAAGGAGTGACTACGATTAATAATAGATTTCCAAACTCGAGCACAGTCGCAGAAACATTCTTAGTATTTCACAGGATACATTATGGAAAGCGTGTGCAGGATATTCGACTTAATTGCTACCTCATCTTTCAACCATCGAACAACGAGATACTTTGCGAGTTTTCACTCCTTTCTTGTTAATATTCCATGCAATCCGTGCTGACGGTTTGCTTTAGTCGTTTGCACGACAAATAATGGGAATAGTTTCCAAGCATCAGTCTTCCTTGAGTACGATGGGATGACTTTAAGGCAACCGTAAATAGGCTTTTGCTAAGCTAAGTCAACGCGGATTACTATCTTCAGCTACATCACTACTTACCATCAGTTTGAATAATAGTCTAACACAAACTTATAAGTGCCGTATAAACCCAGGCGCTTAGCGCTAACCGTTACGTTTTGAATTACCACGTGCTCGGCGGTGAAGGAAAGCGTCTTGAGGGAGACCCCCCTAAGGAATAAAATATTTTTTTTTTTTTTTTTTTTATAGGAGAGGGGGCAAACGAGCATGCGGCTCACCTGATGGTAAGTGACTACCGCCGCCCATGAACAACCGCAACACCAGGGGAATTGCAGATGCGTTGCCGGCCTTTTAAAAAGGAGTAGGCTCTTTTCTTGAAGGTCCCTAAGTCGTATCGGTCCGGAAAAATCCCTGGTGGTAAACTATTCCACAAGGAAGTTGTGCGAGGAAGAAAACATCTTCTAAATCGCACAGTGGTGGACCGCCAATCATCCAGATGGTGTGGATGGTATCGGGAGTTCTGCCGCGATGTGCGTTCGTGAAATTTGGCGGCTGGGATTAATCCGAACAATTCCTCAGAGCACTCCCCATGGTAGATGCGAAAGAAAATGCAAAGAGATGCAACATCTCTTCGCAGTGCCAATGAATCTAGCCGATCGGAAAGGGCTCGGTCGTCGACGATTCGAGCCGCTCTGCGCTGGATGCGGTCAAGTGGAAGGAGCTGGCACTGGGGAGCCCCTGCCCAGAGATGGGAACAGTATTCCATGTGAGGCCGAACCTGCGCCTTGTAAAGTTGCAGGCGGTGTGCCGGCATGAAATACTGTCCCGCTCTGCTGAGCACGCCAAGCTTTTTAGAGGCCAATTTGGCCTTCTCTTCCAAGTGACCACGAAACTGCACGTCACTCGATATGTCGACTCCGAGGATACCGATACTGGCTGAGGCAAGAAGGGGAGTGCCTTGAAACTGAGGAGATACGACAAAGGGGTTCTTTTTAGCGGTAAACGCGCAAACTTGTGTCTTCTGAGGATTAAACTGGACTAGATTTAGTCGCCCCCAATCCGAGACTTTGTCCAGCAAAGACTCGACTTCAGACACAAGTTTGTTCCGGTACTCGGCGACGTTTTCCGAGAAATATTGGCCCGGCCGGTGTATAGAGCATCACCAGTGCTGTCATCCGCATAGCAATGAATGTTACCATAATTAATTATATATATAAATTTATTATATATATAATTTATAATATTATAATATTATATATATATAATATTATAATTTATAATATTATATTATTATTATATATATAAATTTAATATATTAAATCAAAGTCATTGAAATCCGCCAACAGGTCCTGAAACAGCGCGGCGGAATAATAAAACCTTCTCTAAAATGAGGAGAAGCCTGTGCCTAAGTGAGAGACGTGTGTAGGCTACAATTTTACTTAACAGTATTACCTTCTTTATATACAGGTTTATTTTTTAAAGAGTAGAATAAATTTTAAACTTAAGTTCAAATATATAAATAATAATATACCATTATTGCAGTTTTTGAAAATACGAGTAAATAAGGCTTCTATTTTTATTTGAAGTGATCCCAAATTGAATGTGATTTATGGGCAACAACGTTTTTGTTTACCGATGGACCGTTACGTATGTGTGCGTGCGCAGTAAAATCAGTTAAAATAATGCATTACCACGCGTTTTGATTTTAAAACATAAAAAGGACAGAATGGTTGAGATTTTTTTTTATTTAATTTTTTTAAAAACCGATTTTGAATGTTTGTGTATATAAACCATCCAGGGACCCACTCAAACGGGTCCCTGGATGGTTTATATTTACAATTGGACCCAGTAGATGGCACTCTTTCTCTTTCACACAAAATAACAATTCTGCTGGTAACTAATAAAAATGTGGTATAGTTTGCGCTTTCAGAGATTGAATTCACAAAGTTAATATTAATTTCATTACCGAGGGAACATGAAATGAGTGGTACTTTAACAGAGTTAGTTTTGTTAGTAGAAGTTAATATAGCTTTACTAAGCTCGACATTTACAACACGTTGACTTGTAGTATAATGCTTTTTGACCGAGTTCAAAAACAAGGAGGTCCTATATTCGACGCGTATGTTTTTTTATGTTATCGTTACCGTTAGAGCCTATTAAAGTCCACTGCTGAACATAGGCCTCCCCTATAGCTAGCCTCGTAGGGGGGATATTGGCCATGGTTGTAATGTTACTGTTGATTTGAAAATATCACCTCTCAGTGGGTCATGTGCTCCTGGTAGATTATCTTCTATTCATCCATCCATTACAGCCTATTAAAGCTGAACATAGGCATCCCTTATAGATTGCCCCATAGAGGGGATATTTGCATTAGTTGTAATGACTGTTGATTTGAAAATTTCACCTCTCAGTGGGTCATGTGCTCCTGGTAGATTATCTTCTATACATCCATCCATTACAGCCTATTAAAGTTGAATATATAGTTGAATAGGCATTGCCCATAGATTGCCTCATAGGTGATATTTGCCATAGTTGCCACGCTTGGCAAGCGAGTTGGCAACCGCAGTTTATTTTTATTTTTAGTCGTTATTAGGAAGACGCTGCTGCCAATCTCATGTTTCAGTTTCCCTCTGTCGCCTCTTACGATACCCAAGGGATGATATGGAATAGTGCAAAACCTTACATCGCCACTACACGGTTTATTTACCGATTTCTCGGATCTTATGATCCAAAAGTTTAAAAAAAACCATTATCAGTAGACTTTAATAGGCTGCAACGGTATAGGTAAAGTCGGTTTTAGCTTTAAAAAAAATTGTTATTTAAATTACACCTCTGTTTGATAAATTACAACGCTATAATTAATATATTCGTTAAATATCCAGCCTCCCTTAACGCGTAAGCTCTTTAGAATCCATCTCATCTTGGCGGAATTATTACATAATATTTATGTTTAACTCCGGAACCGTAGCGGGCTTTGCCGAACCATCACAGGGGATATAATTTTAAATATAAGCTAAGAAGCCGGCTCAAGAGAGCTTTGTAGTTATTTTTCGACGTTATTGTAACAAAATCTCCACCGTTTGATACCTTTGTTGATGTTAAAATGTAAAATAAATCTATCCATTACAGCCTTAATAATTCAATGCTAAACATAGGCCCATAGATTGATTCATAGGTAGGATTTTGTTATCAGGAAGATGCTGCTGCCCATCTTCTGTATCAGTTTCCCTTTATCTCTTTTTACGACACTTTTTATTTGTATTGTACGTGGCAGAGCCACGCTGCAGCTATACAGGGTTAACTTAAATTTAATTATAGAAATATTTTTTATAGAAGAGGGGGCAAACGAGCATGCGGCTCACCTGATGGTAGTTGACTACCGCCGCCCATGAACAACTGCAACACCAGGCGAATTGCAGATGCGCTGCCGGCTTTTTAAAAAGGAGTAGGCTCTTTTCATGAAGGTGCCTAAGTCGTATCGGTCCGAAAAAATCGCTGGTGGTAATCGATTTAACAAGGAAGTTGTGCGAGGACGAAATAAATATAATGATATTCCGTTTTTGAAATTTTTGAAAGTACGAGTAAATAAGGCTTCTACTTTTATTTTAAATTATCCCAAATTTGATGTGATTTATGGGCAACAATATTTTTGCCTACCGATCGACCCTTACGAATGTGTGCGTGCGCAGTAAAATCAGTTAAAATAATGCATTACCACGCGTTTTGATTTTAAAACATAAAAAGGACAGAATGGTTGAGATTTTTTTTTATTTAATTTTTCTTCACCATTTGCCTATATTACTTATTCTAAACCTTCTCTACAAAGTAAGCCGGTTATTGCAAAATAACCGTGTATTGTGGTTGCAGCACGAATGGTTCAGCTCGACCGGGGTAGGAGCACGCTCTCACAGAAAACCAGCGTAAAATAGCAGCTTAATGCTGCTGTGTTTCGTATGGTAAGTGTATAGAACCGGAGACCATTTTACCGGAACCGAGACATTCCGTCTAAGCCCTCAGGGGTGACTTTTTGATTCTTAATTGAGGGTAAATATTAACGTTTATTCACCACAGCATCCACTCCGGACACACATCAGGTGGACTGTGTGCTCGATTGTCACCCTTATTCTAGAAAAAAAAATCTAACCGAGTTTTTGAAAACGGCTCTAAAGATTTTCGAAAATGCAAAAATACATATTTTGTAACACAAATGCCCATCTCTTATTTCGGTTACCTTCTGTCGCCGCTTACGGGACTTTTTTTAATTCTTTTTTTTTACAAAACGTTACTCCCACACTATGATTTTCTCCTGTATCGTGGAGGCAGTTTACAAACATAAATTGCATAAGGACAAACATCCAGACCCGAAACAATTATTTGTAGGCCATACAAATACTTGTTCCGTGCGGGATTCGAACCCGCAGCCCCCAGCGCTGGAGCTCATTGCTAAGCCACTGCGCCACTGAGCCATCCAACGGCTCACGGAACGATATTCTATTTTGCAACATATTCTACAGGTTTCCTTTTGTTAACATTCTCTACTTGAAAGTTTATAGTGTGAAAGTCCTTCAAAGTCGCACGCATTTCTTAATTTATTCCATCATCAGCTACAAAATAAAAAGATAGTGATGAATTTAGTATCCCTTCGGAAAACGTTTACTAACATTAAAGTGTATCCTTGGTTCCAGGTGTCCGCGTGGGTGACAGAGCTGGTGCTGACGTCCACTCCGGAGGATAGAAAGGCCACGTTGGCCTGTATCCTGAGGATCGCGCTCACCTGTTGGAATATAGGCAACTTTAACGGCGCCATGGAGATTGTAGCTGGACTCAAGTAAGTTCATAGAATCTATATAAATAAATATACACACACGCGCGCGCGTACACGGACACACAGATCAGAGAGAGAGAGAAGCACTGTTTTTTTTTTAAGTATGTTTTTGTGGCTCAAACTTATTGATAATCGGTCGATTGTTATAAGTTAAAAATGTATAAAGTAGATCCGTTATTGGCTGTAAGTTTATTTCTTAAGTTCATTTACATTGTAATTAGTGCTGTGGATCTTGTAATAAATAAATAAATAAATAAAATGATAGAGGTTTACAGTTGCGCTCGCATCACGAAAAAACTACTGGATAGATTTTAATTAAATTTTCTAAGTTTTATTTCTTAGACACTTTGGCCGTTATCTAAAAAAAAATATTGCGAAAACGTCTTCATTTAATATAAAGTTATTAAAGTTTTAAGAAACAATGATTTTTATACGGGGTTTTTCACACGGTCAACTGTACTTCGCTTGCTCTCGCGTTACTAACCCAGATAATTTATATATTTTAGCTACAAACGAAGCAACGAATACCAGCGTAAAGTAGCACCTTAATGCTGCTGTGTTTCGTATGGTGAGTGTAGAAAACCGGATACCCTTTTTACTGGACACAAGGCATTCTATGTTAGTCTTCACGGCTGACAACGCATCTGCATTTTAATTCGCAAACGAAGATGATGTAGATGTCTATGGGCCACAGCAACCACTTACCATCAGGTGGACTGTGTGTTCGTTTGTCATAACATTGTTTACAAAGAAAGTCTTTTTGATGTTTTTTCGTTCGCACATACAAAAACTTTGTTAATATATCAAGCAACGCAGACGAAGTCGCGGGTATGAGCTAGTTATTAATAAATTAGTTAATAGAAGCGACAGTAGACTAAGGGTGCGGAGAGCGAATTCGAAATGTAGTGGGTTCGAATCTGCCATTTAACTACGGACGTAATCCACTCCTAACACATGCAATTCAAGCTCACCATCAGCATCCACTTGCCATGTTTGAACTGTGCTTGTTTGATACTATTATACCATAAAAAAACTACCTACTTATCAATAATGATGGCATAATTTCATTTCATTTGAGGACAAACAAAAAACAAATGAACTCCAAAGAAACTTAAAGCAAAATTATTTAAAAATATCTCATAGAATTAGAAAGAAAACAAACCGAAAGCATCCTGCTCAATTTTCTATTACCCGAAAATTTCCGAGTAGAATTTTCGATAATGAGTTCTAAGACGAAACCCATCCTCCGTAATTGCAGCTTGGACGGATTCAAGTTTGTTCAGATTTTAAGTACCTACCTAATAACATTTCGTGTTTCATTAAATACTGTTTTATATATAAAAAGGTGCATTTACATAATTAAACTTTAATAAACAGTATACATTTACATTAACAAAAAAAATTAAAAACAATAAAATTATATGGAAATTGTTTGATTAGTTTTAGTTTTTTAGAAAATAATTATCCAATAAACCGTGTAGTGGCGGTGTAAGAATATCCAGTATCCCATTACGTCCCCTGGGTGTCGTGAGAGGCGACAGAGGGATACTGAATCAGGAGATAGGCAGCGGTATCTTCCTTATAAGAATTCAAACTTATAATAATAATAATTTAAAATAAAAATTTTTGTACAGCCGACTTCAATATAAGTTATTAAGAATAACTCAAAAACTATTGGTCTGACCTTGATCATATGGGACGATATGAGAGGTACCAGCTTTCAAATAAAAAAAGAATCATCGAAATCGGTTTACCCAGTAAAAAGTTATGAGGTAACACAAAAAAAGCATACAGTCGAATTGAGTACCGTCTCCTTTTTGAAGCCGGTAGAAAAAGTGTTAGTTTATAGTATCAAAATAAGTATGTGTAAGTGGCTCCATCTATAACTGTATTGTCATCTTTTTCTCATTAAAATATTTTTAGTCACAAAGCACACAACCGCATTTTATTAGGAGTTTTGGCGGGAACTTGACCGGCGGCGGTTTGCTGCTCCTGTTTTATTGTTTAAATAATGGTTTGAAGTGGACTTTGATATGTAAAAGTGGTGCGATTTTGTGGATTAAGTGTCTGCGCATGTGAACTATTAGTGGAAACTGTGAAACAAGTGCTCTGATAGTGATGTGATTCTCAAAATAAGGTGCCTATCTGCTTAGGTGCCTTGAGATACCATCGCCAACCGTCAGCTGTCTGCTGTCAAGTTACCGTCAAAATCTCCCAAGGGCTGCACAATGTAACGCGTCAACATATTGTGAAGCAGTATACTATGAAGAATAATTATTATAATATTATATTGTAGCTTCAGGCTCAGAAGGGCTAGATCCCAGAGCCGTAAAGCCAGTTATTAAGAAGAAGAAGAAGCGCGTTTTATTATGTTATGGGCCTACGGGACACATAAAAAAACCTACAGTCGAATTGATTAAGTACCCCGTCTCCTTTTTGAATTCGATAGAAAACAGTTAACGTATAACCCACGTCAATGCCCACATAGTAATTTTATATGGCCCCATGTTCAACACAATTTTGCGCTATTTGGGAAGAGTAGGAAATAGGCGCTGTCAGTGACTCTTTATTATCATTCTTCTGAACTTTGCATAAGATTAGACATCTAATAAACTCTCTAGAAAGGCACTAAGTAAAGTCGGTTTCAGACCAATATCACTTAGTAACTACAGGCGACAGTTCCACGAAGTGGTCGTGTTTATCAAAATTACTTTTTATTAGGCCGGTCTCCAGACAATAGGTAGGTTCGGGTAAACTTTTCAACGGTCTTAAAAAGAAGGAGGTCTCAATTCAACTGTATTTTTGTGTAAAGGTAAAATGTAAAGTTTTATATAGAACTAGCTGTTCCCCACGACTTCGCCCGCGTGTTATTTGTGCTTTTAATTTTTTTGCGCGGAACCCTAATTTTGGATAAGATTTTGTTAAATAAAACTATGCATACCAATTTTATCGTCTTTAATTTACTTATTTTAATTTCCGACGCATGCTTTACAGCAATCCATGATTAAAAAGGGGGGGGGGGGGCTGAAATGTCTGTTTGTATGATCAAATTTATATGGGACCACATGAGAAGCACTAGCTATCAAATAAAAAAGAATCATCAAAATCGGTTCACCTATAAAAAAGTTATGAGGTACACATAAAAAAACATACAGTCGAATTGGTACCTTTTCCTTTTTGAAGTCGGTTAAAAATGGGTAGACTCTTATTTTAGGACCCTAAGTCGCATAGGTAGCTGATTCTACAAAGAAATTGTGCGAGGTAGAAAACTTCTGGTAAATTGTACAGCGATAGACCGCCAATCATCCAAATGGTATGGATGTTATCGCGAATTTCGTCACAATGTTCAATAGTGATTTTAGCTGGAATTAGTCCGAACAATTTCTCTGAGCACTCCCTGTGTTAGATGCGATAGAATATACTCGGAATACTAGGAATTAAAAATCTCTTCGCAGAGCCATGGAGTAAGCCGATCAGAAAGAACTCCGTCGTTGACGATTCGAGCCGCATACATTAAAATTTTATCCCTTATTTTTCACCCTTAGGGATGGATCTAGCTCTTCAAATTTACATTTAACATCCGTTAGGCATAGCATAATCATTAAAATTAGTGCAGCCTTTTCCAAGAAATGTTTTTAAAATAAAAATTTTTAGTGAATGTACATTAAAAAAATACTCATCGAATATTGAACCTCCTCGTTTTTGAACTCGGTTGAATAGTAAGCTATAGAAATACGAAATTCTGGGAGGAAGAGTGAAGAAGCAACAAGAGTAGAAGATAAGGAAACCAAGAAGAAAAGAGAGTGGGTCCAGCAGGGGTTTCTTTCGGCCTTCAGCTGTCTTGTAGTCTGTAGGCCGGCGGAAACTACTTGCTGGATACACTTATGACCAGCGAGAAGATGTGAAGATCTGGAGAAGAAGTATTTTAAAGTATCATTATATTTTTACCCGACTGTCCCAGAAGTATGGTAGTATTTATCCTCCTTCTGGGGCAGTCTGGTATATGTCTAAGTGTATGTATCTATTTTTACGTGGTAGAGCCGTACTGCAGCTATTAGTAGAATAGTTGTAGCACGAATGGATCGGCTCGACTGGGGTAGGACCACGCTCTCACAGAATGCCAGCGTAAAATAGCAGCTTAATACTGCTGTGTTTCGTATGGTGAGTGTAGAGAACCGGCGACCCTTTTTACTGAAAAAGAGGCAATCCATTTTAGTCCTCACGGATGACAACGCATCTGCATTTTGATTCGTAATCGAAGATAGATGTAGATAGATGTCTATGGGCCGCAGCAACCACTTACCATCAGGTGGACTGTGTGCTCGTTTGTCATCCTTATCCTTTAAAAAAAAAACTAGTTTAGGCAGTCGGGTTTTTTAAATTACTGTTTACCTTTGGACTTGTTACGTGGTAGGTATTGTACAATTTTAGTGGTAGAGCCACGCTGCAGCTATATATGGCTATAGCACGAACGGGTCGGCTCGACCAAACCGTGACGGCTCCGTGGCGCAGTGGCTTAGCAATGAGTTGTTGCGCTGGGGACACGGGGTTCGAAACCCGCACAGAACAAGTATTTGTATAGCCTACAAATAATTGTTCCGGGTCTGGATGTTTGTCTTCGTGCAAAATATGTTTATAAACTGCCTCCACGATACAGGAGAAAATCCTAGTGTGGTGGTAACGTTTTTTTTTTTAAATGAACCACGCTCTCACATAATACCACCATAAATAGCAGCTTAATGCGGCTGTGTTTCGTATGGTGAGTATAGAGAACCGGAGACCATTTTACTGCAGACGAGGCATTCCATCTTATCCATCCAGCTCAGAGGTATCAATTGAAAAATAATTACAATTAGCTTATCTATGGGTGACAACGCGTCTTCACTTTGATTTTTAATCAAGGATAGATGTACGTAGATGTCTATGGACTCCAGCCACCACTTATAATCAGGTGGACACACGCTTGGCAGGCGGTTGCCGAACCGCCTGCCAAACGTTTTTTT